TCTTTTGTTCTAAGTAAGCAACTCTTGATGGGCTCCTAGATAGCCTCAGGATGGGGGCTGGTTGCCTAAGGACTTTCAGCCCCACCCCCTTAACCTCAGGGGAGGGGAGAAGGCCTAAAGGTTGAGTTGATCACCTGAGGCCAATAATGTACTCAATTATGCCTTTGTAAGGAAGCCTCCATAAAACAACAATAACAACAACAACAACAACAAAAAGGCCGGGCATGGTGGTTCACACCTGTAATCCCAGCACTTTGGGAGGCCAAGGTGGATGGATCACGAGGTCAAGAGATTGAGACCATCCTGGTCAACATGGTGAAACCCCCTCTACTAAAAATACAAAAAAAATAGCTGGGCATGGTGGCGAGTGCCTGTAATCCCAGCTACTCAGGAGGCTGAGGCAGGAGAATTGCCTGAACCCAGGAGGTGGAGGTTGTGGTGAGCCGAGATCACGCCATTGCACTCCAGCCTGGGTAACAAGAGCAAAACTCCGTCTCAAAAAACAAACAAACAAACAAAAAAGCCAGGCGTGGTGGCTCACATCTGTAATCCCAGCACTTTGGGAGTCCAAGGTGGGTAGATCACCTGAGGTCAGGAGTCGGAGACCAGCCTGGCCAACATGGTGAAACTCCATCTCTACTAAAAATACAAACATTAGCTGGGCACGGTGGCATACAGCTGTAATCCCAGCTATTCAGGAGACTGAGGCTAAAGAATCGATTGAACCCAGGAGGTGTAGGTGGCAGTGAGCTGAGATTGTACTACCACACTCCAGCGTGTGTGACAGAGCAAGACTCTGTCTCAAAAAAAAAAAAAAGAAAAAGGCAGACTGGGTACAAGACATGGGTCTGTTATGTCACTCTTTCTCACTGTCTTTTTAAAGTTACTGAGAACTATGACAATAATTAGGCCTATGATACTCCTGAGAAGGAAATCTATTTGTGAAACAAAAATTAATTTTTTCCCTAAGCAAAGTGAAGAGAATATCCACTTCATTGGCCTCTGACATACAAACTAATAGCACAGTTCACCATTAAACAATCACCTCTTCTGCCATTCCTTTTCACGAGGTATTCCATTCACTTACCTCTCTATCTTCCCTGCCAGTCCACTCCCTCCTCTTTCCAGCCTGTGCTTTAGACAAGGACCCCAAACAAGAATCACCTGGGCAACTCTAAAAACACAGATTCCCAGTCATAATCCCAATTTTACCAAGAAAGAAAGGTTGGGGGCCAGGCTCAGTGGCTCACACCTGTAATCCCAGCACTTTGGGAGGCCGAGGCAGGCAGATCATGAGGTTAGGAGATAGAGATCTTGCTACAAGTTAAACCCCATCTCTATTAAAAATACAAAAAATTAGCCAGGCGTGGTGGCGGGTGCCTGTAGTCCCAGCTACTAGGGAGGCTGAGGCAGGAGAATCAACTGAACTCACGAGGTGGAGGTTGCAGTGAGCTGAGATCGCATCAATGCACCCCAGCCTGGGCAACAGAGCAAGACTGTGTCTCAAAAAAAAAAACAGAAAAGTTTGGAAACCCCTTACATGAACAAGCAACATCCAAAGACACCAAAAACTAAGGCTCATCAAGTATTAACTTCCTGTCTTCCTGCCTCAGCCTCCCAAGAATAGCTGAGATTACAGGCATGTGCCAGCATCCCACTTATTTTTCACTCTAATAGAATTTTTTTTCTGAGACGAAGTTTCGCTCTTGTCACCCAGGATGGACTACAATGGCACAATCTCACCTCCCCACAACCTCCACCCCCTCAGGTTCAAGCAATTCTTCCTCAGCCTCCCCAGTAGCTAGGACTACAGGCACCCAAACCACACCCAGCTAATACTGGTATTTTCAGTAGAAAAGGGGTTTCACCATGTTAGCCAGGCTGGTCTTGAACTCCTGACCTCACATGATCCACCTGCCTTGGCCTCCCAAAGTGCTGGGATTACAGGTGTGAGCCACTGCAACCCAGCCCAGATCAAGATTTTCCCTAGGTCACATTTTTCATCTCTTTCCTCTCCAAGGAGTTAGAAGCTGAATTTCAAATTTTACATTGAAATACACAATTCTAATTAAATATCTTCCTCCTGGAGAAGTGATATTCCAGTTTTAGATGCAATTCTGATGTAAAGCCCAACTGTCCTGTGAAAAGAGTCAGCTGTTAAAAGGAAACAAACAAAAAAATCAAGGTAGCTCTGGCTGTCCAATTTTACAAGTTTTCAACTGAGTTGATGAGGGGTGAGCAAAAGGCGGTCAATGCTTTATTGTCTGTAACTCATTGGCACTTGCATTTCTAGAGTTGCTCATTTCCCCCGCTTTGGTGACTCATAGCATTTCAACATATTGCCACAGCAAAGGAGAAAAGGAAATCAAGTCAGACAATGGAGGAAATCACAGGATTTCCCTCTTTCCATCCCCAGTTAGATGAGGTCATTCAATGGGTGTGTTTCTAAGGCTCCACAAATTCCCACACCCTCACCAGTGTTTTAACCAAAGCATTGTATTTGATAACTTTTTCTAATTTCACCAAGTAAACTTACATGTTCTGTTTAACTGTGAACTCCTAGTAAGCACAAATTTCGTCTTGTGATATTTTTCTTTATGTTTTTCTTTTTTGAGACAGGGTCTCACTCTGTCACCCAGGATGGAGTGCAGTGACGCAATCTCAGCTCACTGCAACCTCCGCTTCCCAGGCTCAAGTGATCCTTCAGAGTTAGCCTCCCCAGTAGCTGTGATTACAAGCACCAGCCACCACACCCAGCTAATTTCTGTGTTTTTTTGCAAAGACAGGTTTGTACTATGTTGTCCAGGTTGGTCTTGAATTCCTGGCCTCAAGTGATCCTCCCACTTTGGCCTCTCAAAGTGCTGAGATGACAGGCATGAACCACAGTGCATGGCCTTTTTATTTTATTTATTTATTTATTTAAGGAGACAGGGTCTCATATGTTGCTCAGGTTGGCCTCGAACTTCTGGGCTCATGCGATCCTCCCACCTTAGCCTCCTAAACAGCTGAGAGTGGAGATATGGCACCACCACGCCAAGCTGACATGATATTCTTGAAAAAACCTAATGAATAAACCACAGACTCACTAACTTATATTCCTTATCTTCCTTTCCAAAAGAAACACTAAAATCTTCAATAAGAAAGTTAAAATTTCAATCAAAACAGTGTTTTAACACTATACTAGAAATTCAAAAGTAAGCTTATTTCCTCCCATTTGAGAGGACAGTTTAAGGGGAGGAGGAAGTCATCTTAAACAACATAATCCTAGCCGGCCTCAGTGGCTCACACCTGTAATCTCAGCTCTTTGGAAGGCCGAGGTAGACCAGCCTGACCAACATGGTGAAACCCCGCCTCTACTAAAAATACAAAATTTAGCTGGGCGCAGTAGCACGCGCCTGTAGTCCCAGCTACTCAGGAGGCTGAGGCAGGAGAATCGCTTGAACCCGACAGGCAGAGGATGGAGTGAGCCAAGACTCCACCTCAAAAATACTACTACTAATAATAATCCTTTTCCAATCTCTACAATTCCATTTGGAAAACAACACAAGATCTGTAGGCAGACCACCAGGTTCAAGATTATCTGTGCCAGGTCATTTCAGCTGAGGTTTTTTCTTGTTTTTTTTTTTTGAGGCAGAGTTGCACTCTGTCACTCAGGCTGGAGTACAATGGCACAATCTCAGCTCACGGCAATCTCTGTCTCCCGAGTTCAAGCCATTCTCCTGCCCCAGCCTCCTGAGTAGCTGGGACTGCAGGCAGGCACCAATCCACCATTTAATTGTTTGTATTTTTAGTAGAGACAGGGTTTCACCATGATGGCCAGGCTGGTCTTGAACTCCTGACCTCAGGTGATCCACCTGCGTCAGCCTCTCAAAGTGCTAGGATTACAGGTGTGAGCCACCCTGCCTGTCCTAAGCTGAGTCTTAACACTGACCTCGTTTTACACGTGGAAGAACGATCAACTCCCAACGCTTTGCAAGGGGCTGAGAGGAGAGGGATTCCTCCAGATTAAAGTATTATGCATTGTTTTTCTTCTTTTTTCTTTCTTTTTTTGAGACAGAGTCTCGATCTATCGCCGAGGTTCCTCATCCCAGGTTCACGTAATTCCTGCCTCAGCCTTCAAGTAGCTGGGATTACAGGCACATACCTCTTGATCCGACTGCCTCAGCCTCCCAAAGTGCTGGGATTAGAGGCGTGTGAGGGATCTGTGGGATCGCTCCCGTGTGAGGCCCCTAGGAAATGGGCCTCGCCATACGGTGAGCTTGAGCCCGGACACAGATCCCCGGTTGGGGGAGTCGAGCTGAGGGAAAGCAAGAACCAAGAGACGGACTATGTTATTCAAAATAATTAACAGACATTACTTTATGGATATGAGGACTTGAGAGGCATTTGTCCACTTTCAGCTCCCTATGGTTTATTGCTTGATTGTGTTCATTTTGGACCCTTGTTACCTTCATTGTAAAATATTAACTTAGGTATTTACACTTGGTAACTTACTGTAACTTACTGGGTGTAACTGTAACTTACCATAACTTACTGGGCCGTAACTATAACTTGCTTACAATTGTTAAGTACTTACTGGGCGTAACTTAGTGGATGTAACTTGCTTACTGTAACTTAAGTATGTTGATCTGGCATAAACAACATTAACTTCAGAAAAGTATATAATGGAACATATTGCAAAAATAAAATTGCTGCATGGGCATAGCGCATGTGGCCCTCCAGACCTCGCTCCTTTTCTTTCTCCTTTTTTTCCGGCGCACGCTCTCTTCCAGGTTTGGGACCCTCTCGCCGGACAAGATTCCCGGGCTCGCGTTCAGTTCACAACAGGCGTGAGCCACCGCGCCCGGCCTGTTTGTTTTTTAGACGGAGTCTCGCTCTGTTGCCCAGGCTGGAGTACCATGGCACGGTCTCGGCTCACTGCAGCCTCCACCTCCCGGGTTCCAGCGATTTCCTCAGCCTCCCGAGTAGCTGGGACTACAGGTGCACATTACCAGGCCCGACTGATTTTTGAATTTCAGTAGAGATGGGGTTTCACCGTGTTGGCCAGCCTGGTCTCGGACTCCTGACCTCAAGCGATCCGCCCACCCCTGCCTTCCAAAGTGATGGGATTACAGGCGTGAGCCACGTGCCCGGCCCAGAAGCAGACAGGCCCAGCGCAAAGGCTGCAAGGCGGCCCCGGCAGCTTTTGCAGGACGATGAATGCACCCAGAGCACTGCGCTCAGAAGGTCACAGGTAAACCCGCGTCCGGACTAACCGGCTGCCCCGACACCTGACCCTTCCCAGTCTGACTCTGCTCCAAGGCGTACCAGGGTTCACTCGCGAAGTCACCACACCGACTCAAGGGGCACTTCCGACAGAGATGGGGTACTGGAGGAAGGGCAGATGCCAACGGCCAACGCCAACAGCCTGGGAAGCCGCCAAGGCGGGCTCCAATCTCTGCCGGCAGCCCCCGTCCGCACCGCTGACGTCCCCAGCTACGAGGGTCACCTCGCCCCGCACCGCAGTGACGCTAGGAGGGGATGGGCCCAACAGGGAAGCCCCAGGGAAACGCTCAGCCCTCCCCGCGCCCCCGAGACGACTTCTGAAGAGCGGCGTCCGGGGTTTCGCCCTCCCCTCACAGCCCCTCCACGCCTGTTCCTGACTGCCTGCCTGGCCTCACCCGGCTTCCGGCCGCCCCCTGCCAGTCTCCCCTCAGGCCCGCATCGGAGACGCAGAGGGCTGTGGCCCCGCCGAGCGCAGCTCCGAAGGCCTGCACCGAGGCAGGGCCCACGGAGGACACGGCGCGGCCCAAGGAGCCAAACGGAAGGAGGGCCCCGGGAGGGCGCAGACTGCTTACCTGCCGCAGGTCGCTGTCGCCCGTCCGCCAGCCACCAGTCAGCGTGCCCGTCAGCGACTCCCTCCCGCACCGCTGTCCGCGCAGCCCAGCGGGCGGGCGCGAGACCGGCGCGACGTGAGCACGCAACGCGGGGTGGGGCCTGCGGAGGACACGCCCTTTGTAGCGGGCACGCCCTCGCGAGAAGCTGGAAGCGGAATACGCTGCTTCTCCAGGTCCCTGGAGGTTGCAGACTCAGGCTCTGCTTAGCGCGGTAAGTCGGGTGCTTCGGCAGGAACGCTAGTGTTCACAAGAGCCGAGGTGTGGGAGGGTGCCTCAGGGATGAGTACTTTTCTTGCCCAGTGTGGTTTAACCCTCTTATACCCACTCAGTGATGTAAGAAATAGGGTTGTCAACCGGGGCACTGCCCTCTTGGTCACTTGCCAGTGCAATCCATTAACCAGCCAACCAGCCGTGTGCAGGCTTCACTGCGAAACCCGAGACTTAACTCTGACATCTCTGTCTCCAGTCTCGTATCTGATCTCCCTGCCTTGGTCTTGCCCCATTATTCGCATTCTTCAAACAGCAGCCAGAATGACAGAATAGTCTTAAACCCTGTAATCCCAGCACTTTGGGAGGCTGAGGCAGGCAGATCACGAGGTCAGGAGTTCGAGACCAGCCTGGCCAACAGAGTGAAACCCCGTCTCTACTCAAAATACAAGAAAATTGGCTGGCTGGGCGCGGTGGCTCACGCCTGTAATCCCAGCACTTTGGGAGGCCAAGGCGGGAGGATTACGAGGTCAGGAGTTCAAGACCAACCTGACCAATATGGTGAAACCCCATCTCTACTAAAAAAAATTTGCTGGGCATGGTGGTGCGTGCCTGTAATCCCAGCTACTCGGGAGGCTGAGGCAGGAGAATCGCTTGAACCCGGGAGGCAGAGGTTGCAGTGAGCCGGCATTATACCACTAGGTGGTAAATATATGGGGGTTCACCTTTCAGTTCTTTCAACTATTCTATGTTTACACATTTTCATAATAAAATTTTGGTGACAATAATATAACCATAATAGTCTGTTGCTGGATGTGCATGGCAAGTCAGCACACCAAGACACAGGGTTGCAGCAGAGAAACAAGCTTAATAGTAGCGCCAGCTAGTCGGGCGTGGTGGCTCAAGCCTGTAATCCCAGCACTTTGGGAGGCCGAGGCGGGTGGATCACGAGGTCAAGAGATCGAGACCATCCTGGTCAACATGGTGAAACCCCGTCTCTACTAAAAATACAAAAAAAAAAATTAGCTGGGGGTGGTGGCGCATGCCTGTAATCCCAGCTACTCAGGAGGCTGAGGCAGGAGAATTGCCTGAACACAGGAGGCAGAGGTTGTGGTGAGCCAAGATCATGTCCAGCCTGGGTAACAAGAGCGAAACTCCGTCTCAAAAAAAAAAAAAAAAATAGTAGCACCAGCGAAATACAGTGCCCCTTCCCAAAACCCCAGTGCATTTGGGAAGCCAAATCAGCAGGATCACTTAAGGTCAGGAGTTTGAGACCAGTCTGGGCAAACATAGAAATCATTTCTGGAAAAACTAAAAACAATTAGCTGGACATGGTGGTGTGTACCTTTATTGCCTGCTACTGGGGAGGCTGAGGTGGGAGGATCACTTGAACCCAGAAATTTGAGGCTGCAGTGAGCTATGACCACATCACTGTACTACAGCCTGGACAACAGAGTGAGACTCTGTCTTTTAAAAAATAAATCTTAGGGCTCCCAATGAAAAGATAGGAGGAAACCTCAAATCTATCTCCCCTAGGAGTTCAGAGGTAGGGTTTTTAAGGATTTTGAAGTGGGCCATAGTGTGGAGATTGTTGATCGGTGGAAGAGTGCAGAATGAAGCATTGGGACAGGGAGATGAAGGAACTATATTCTCATGCTGACCCCATTCCTCCATGGGGTCTTTGAACTGGTTGACATCACCTTTTGTCTTGGAATTTGGAATCTGAAAAATATCTCAAGCAATTCTATTTTTCTTGTTTTCCTTTAAAGTTTGTATTTATTTTTTATTTTTATTTATTTATATATTTATTTATTTTGAGACAAGAGTCTTGCTCTGTCACCAAGGCTGGAGTGCAGTGGCACTCTTAGCTCACTGCAGCCTCCGACTCCAGGGTTCAAGCGATTCCCCTGCCTCAGCCTCCCAAGCAGCTGGGACTACAGGCTCGAGCCACACTGCCCGGCTGATTTTTTTTGTATTTTAGTAGAGACGGGGTTTCACCATGTTGGCCAGGATAATCTCGATCTCCTGACCTCTTGATCTGCCTGCCTTGGCCTCCCAAAGTGCTGGGATTACAGGCGTGAGCCACCACACCCAGCCTATTTCTATTTTTTTAATCAATTTTTTTTTTTTAGATGGAGTCTCGCTCTGCTGCCCAGGCTGGAGTGCAATGGTGAGGTCTCAGCTCAATGCTACCTCCGCCTCCCAGTTTCAAGCCATTCTCCTGCCTCAACCTCCCGAATAGCTGGGATTACAGGCACCTGTCACCCCACCTGGCTAACTTTTTATATTTGTAGTACAGACATGTTTCACCATGTTGGCCAGGCTGCTCTTGAACTCCTGACCTCAAGATCTGCCCACCTCAACCTCCCAAAGTGCTGGGCTTACAGGCTTGAGCCACCATGCCCAACCTAATCACTCTTTTTTTTTTTTATGATGCACTGTCTGCTTTCATAATATCTTAAGCAATTCTTAAACAAGAGCTTATGATTCCAGTGTCAGAGATCCTAACTACAGGAACAATGGGGAGGCAAAAGGTCAGTTATCAGTGACTTTCATTACAAGGAAGTGGGTCAAAGTACAGTAAGCCTGATTCGTGCTTAATTATATGTCTGTCCAGAATTCTTGTTAACCATGTGAGGAAGGCTCAAATATATTCATTATGGTCCCCTTCCCTTTTTTTAAGAGATAGGGTCACCATGCGCGGTGGCTCACCCCTATAATCCCAGCACTTTGGGAGGCCGAGGCGGGTGGATCACGAGGTCAAGAGATCGAGACCATCCTGGTCAACAAGGTGAAACCTCGTCTCTACCAAAAATACAAAAAATTAGCCAGGTATGGTGGTGCGTGCCTGTAATCCCAGCTACTCGGGAGGCTGAGGCAGGAGAATTGCCTGAACCCAGGAGGCGGAGATTGCGGTGAGCCGAGATCGCGCCATTGCACTCCAGCCTGGGTAACAAGAGCGAAACTTCGTCTCAAAAAAAAAAAAACGAGAGATGGGGTCTTAATTTGTCACCCAGACTGGAGTACAGTGGCACAATTTTGGCTCACTGCAGGCTTGACCTCCTGGTCTCAAGCAATCCTCCTGCCTTGGCCTCCCAAACCACTAGAATTACAGGTAAGCCACTGCACCAAGCCCAGGGTCATTTTTTAGTTTGCTTTTTAGTTTTTTGTTTGTTTGTTTTTAGACTAGTCTCATTTCTGTTGCCCACACTGGAGTGCAGTGGCCTGATCTCGGCTCACTGTAGCCTTGGCCTCCCGGGTTCAAGCAATTCTCTGCCTCAGCCTTCTGAGTAGCTGGGATTACAGGTGCCCACCACCACACCCGGGCTAATTTTTTTGTATTTTTAGTAAAGACAGGGTTTCACCATCTTGGCCAGGCTGCTCTTGAACTCCTGACCTCGTGATCCACCTGCCTCGGCCTCCCAAAGTGCTGGGATTACAGGCCAGGAATTCAAGACCAGCCTGGCCAATATGGTGAAACCCTGTCTCTACCAGAAATACAAAAATTAGGTGTGGTGGCATGCACCTGTAATCCAAGCTACTCAGGAGACAGGCAGGAGAGTTGCTTGAACCAAGGAGGCAGAGGCTGCAGTGAGCCAAGATCGTGCCACTTTAGCCTGAGGGACAGAGTGACACCCTGTCTCAAAAACATAGAAAATAAAATAAAAATTTTATAAGTGAGTTAGGCAAGGAAGAAATCCAGCGGACAAGGCCTCAAGGGATAAAAGTCATAGACATAGCTTTAATTATTTTTACCTGACACCCAATACCTGAAAATTCAGGTGTTCATGTGTGCTATAGCTGGAACCTGAGCAACGCCATTTTATAAAAGACAAAGCTGTTTTCCAAAAATAAGTTGTAACGGCTGCCCCATTCTCCTCACAATGACTGCTAACCTTGGCTTCTGTAAATAAAACTGCTTACCTTTTCTTACCAGTGCCTGCCAGAATTGTTGGCCTTTGCTTACCAGAATAAGCAGCCCAAGCTAATTCCATCCTGGCCCCTGCGACTTGCAATAAGTAACTAAAATCTGTGGATTCCACTACTGCCCAGACCATGTGTAAACTAACGCTTATCTTGACTTCTGTAAACCACTTAGGTAGCAATCGAAGTGACAAGTCCCCTAGCCCTTGGAATGTCCGGAGACCCGCACCCTCCTCTCTGCTGGGGAGGTGCCCCCTGGCCTTCAGAATGTCTGAATCCCTTCACCCCCACCCCCGCCCCACAGGCTCACCCCGGAGGTGGTTTACGGGCATAAAAAGGTCTTGTCACCCTCCATTCGGGGCCACTGGTTGGAGAAACTTGAGTCCTCCGTGGTCGCCGGCAATTAAGACCCTGCAATTTGGCATATTTTTGTCTTGTGTTAATTTTATAATCTCTCATTTAAATACTTCACATGCAAGACAAAGATTTAAATACTTCACATGCAAGACAAAGAGGGAATTTTTCTCCTCCCAGTCGTTAAGCGGCTCTCCACTTTGAGCATTGTCTATTTATACAAATTCACTGTGCACATGCCCGGAAAGGACGCCAAGAACCGCGGGAGCCTGGAGGAGCCAACCGCGCGGAGGGGAGGAGTCTTGGCCGCTACCCCTGTGTAGCCACTGATCCTCCCACACGGTGCAGCCGGTAGGCGCTCTGCTGGGTGGGGCCGGAGCTGCGGGGAGGGGGTAGGCGCCTGGCGTGGAGGTCACTCCGGTTGGTGGAACCCGGGCCAGGGAGTCGAGTGACCCGACTCGGGGGAGGTGGGAAGGAGTAGAGGATCGGGCCCAAAAGGAACAAGGTGATTCGCAGGACCCCGAGATCCCGGGATGGGCGGCTTGCTGCTCCGGTCCCAGCTGCCCCACTCGACAGATACTCGAGTGTCACCCTTGTGGCTCCCGGCGGGAACCCCGGTCCCACCCCCAACTCCACGCCTCCCGCTACCCGCAGATCTATGTGGATCGCGTTCGTCCCGGTCTCGTCCTCATGGCGGACAAGAAAGTGGTGGTGGTTTTTGGAGGCACAGGTGAGCGAAACCCCAGACCACTGGAGCTCCTACAGAGCCAGGGCGCCCATCCCTGAAGCCAGCCCGCCCTGGGGTCTGCAGGGAAGGGTAAGATCACTGGGATCCCCTACCCGGGTTGGGGATGTGGCGGCAGGAATGAGGCCCAAATTGCTTTTCAATTAAAAAAAAAATCAATTACTTTAATGTATTTGAATAGAAGTACTTGACCATGATACCAAAATTAAATCTTCCTAGCCCCCTCTTCCACCTCATCCATCACTGTTATCAAGTTTCTTGAACATCCTGCCAGAGTAGATAACATATATTGTCATTTTTTTCAAATGATAGCATATTATTTTGCTCCTGTTCTTTCTTATTTATACATATTTAATATCTATAACAGCTTTATTGAGATATAAATCACAAACTATACAATCCACCTGTTTAAAGTGTCAACTTGGCCAGGCTCTGTGGCTCATGCCTGTAATCTCAGCACTTTGGGAGGCCGAGGCAGGCAGATCACAAGGTCAGGAGTACGAGACCAGCATGGGCAACATGGTGAAACCCTGTCTCTACTAAAATACAAAAAATTAGCTGGGTGTGGTGACGGACTCCTGTAATCCCAGCTACTGGGAAGGCTGAGGCAGGAGAATTGCTTAAACCCAGGAGGTGGAGGTTGCAGTGAGCCGAGATGATGCCACTGTACTCCAGCCTGAGTGACAGACTTCACTTCCAAAAAAAAAAAAGTGTCAACCTACTGGTTTCTAGTGTATTCACAGAATTGTACAACCATCACCACAATCAATTTTAGAAAATTTCCATCACTCCAAAAAAGAAACTCTGGCCCAGATGCAGTGGCTCAACCCTGTGATCCTAGCACTTGAATTGGACCAAGTGGGCAGATGGTTTCAGCCAAGGAGTTTGAGACCAATCTGAGCAACATGGCAAACCCTCATCTCTATCAAAAAATACAAAAATTAGCCAGACATGGGTCAGGCATCTGTAGCTACTGGGGAGGCTGATGTTGGAGGATCACCTGAATGCAATAGGTGGAGGCTGCAGTGACCTGATTGTGCCACTGCACTCTAGCCTGGGTGAGAGTGAGTTTAAAGTCTCACTCTCTTAAAAAAAAAAAAAAAAAAAAAAAAAAGGCCAGGCACATTGACTCAGACCTGTAATCCCAGCACTTTGGAAGGCCAAGGTGGGGGGATCACAGGTCAGGAGTTCAAGACCAGCCTGGTCAATATGGTGAAACCCCGTCTCTACTAAAAATACAAAAATTAGCCAAGCGTGGTGGTGGGCGCCTGTAGTCCCAGCTACTCAGGAGGCTGAGGCAGGAGAATGCTTGAATCAGAGAAGCAGAGGTTGCAGTGAGCTGAGATCGAGCCACTGCACTCCAGCCTGGGCAACAGTGAGACTCTGTCTCAAAAACAAAAACAAAAAACTCCTAAGCCCATGAACGGTTACTCCCCATTCTTACTCCTCTCAGCCAACCCCTCGAAAGTACCAATCTACTTTTGGTATCTATGGATTTGTCTTTTCAGGACATTTCATATGAGTAAAATCATAATATATAGCTTTTTCTGTCTAGCTTCTTTCACTTAGCATATTTTCAAGGTTTGTTCATGTTGTAGTGCATGTCTGTGTTTTACTCTTCTTTTTTTTTTTTTTTTTTTTGAGACAGAGTCTCGCTCTGTTGCCCAGGCTGGAGTGCAATGATGTGATCCCTGCTTACTGTAACCTCTGCCACCTGGGTTCAAGCGATTGTCCTGTCTCAGCCTCCTGAGTAGCTAAAACTACAGGTGTGGGCATGAGCCACCATGCCCTCCTCATTTTTGTATTTTTAGTAGAGATGGGTTTTGCCATGTGGACTGGGCTGGCCTCAAACTCCAGACCTCACGTGATCTGTGCACCCCAGCTTCCTAAAGTGCTGGTATTAGAGGCGTGAGATACTGCACCCAGCCATCATGACTCTTTTATTTTTTTTCTTTTTTTGAGATGGAGTTTCACTCTTGTTGCCCAGGCTGGAGTGCAATGGCATGATCTCAGCTCACTGCAACTTCTGCCTCCCAGGTTCAAGCAATTCTCCTGCTTCAGCCTCCCAAGTAGCTGGGATTATAGGTGTGCGCCCCCACACCCAGCTAATTTTTTATTTTGTTAGTAGAGACAGGGTTTCACCATGTTGATCAGACTAGTCTTGAACTCCTGACAGCTTTACTCATGTTTATGGCTGAATAATATTCCACTTTATGGATAGACCACATTCTGTTTACCCATTCATCAGTGGATGGCTACTTATTTCCACTTTTTGGCTATTACGAATAATGCTGCTATGAACATTGGTGTACCCTTTTTTTTTTTTTTTTTTAAGCCGGAGTTTCACTCTTGTTACCCAGGCTGGAGTGCAATGGCACGATCTCGGCTCACCACAACCTCTGCCTCCTGGGTTCAGGCAATTCTCCTGCCTCAGCCTCCTGAGTAGCTGGGATTACAGGCATGCGCCACCGTGCCCAGCTAATTTTTTGTATTTGTAGTAGAGACAGGGTTTCACCATGTTGACTAGGATGGTCTCGATCTCTTGACCTTGCGATCCACCCACCTCGGTCTCCCAAAGTGCTGGGATTACAGGCATGAGCCACCGTGCCCGGCTACCCTTTTTTTTTTTTTTTTTTTTTTGAGACAGTTTTGCTCTTGTTGCCCAGCTGGAGTGTGATGGCATGATGTTGACTCACTGCAACCTTTACCTCCCGGATTCAAGCTATTCTCCTGCCTCAGCCTCATGAGTAGCTGGGATCACAAGCATGTGCCACCACACCCAGCTAATTTTGTATTTTTTTAGTAGGGACGGGATTTCTCTATGTTGGTCAGGCTGTTCTGGAACTCTCGACCTCAGGTAATCCTCCCACTTTGGACTCCCAAAGTACTGGAATTACAGGGTGAGCCACGCACCTGCCCTTGGTGTACACTTTTTTTTTTGAGTCAGGGTCTCTCTCTGTTGCCCAGGCTGGAGTGCAGTGGCACAATTATCACTCACTGCAGCTATATCTTCCAAGGCTCAAGCAATCCTCCTTCCTCAGCCTCCTTAGTAGCTGGGACTTCAGGTGAGCACTAACAGGCCCAGCTGATTTTTTAATTTTTTTGTAGAGACAAAGTTTTGCCCTGCTGCCTAGGCTGGTCTCAAACTCCTGGCCTCAAGCAAAATCCAACCCCCTTACCCTCCAAAGTGCTTAGATTACAGGCATGAGCTACTGTGCCCAGCCTCAGTACTTAATTTTTTTTTTTTTTTGCAATGGAGTCTGTCACTATTGCCCAGGCTGGAGAGCAATGGCACGATCTCCACTCACTGCAACCTCCGCCTCCCTGTTTCAAGTGATTCTCCTGCCTCAGCCTCCGAAGAAGCTGGGATTACAGGTGCCCACTACCATACCCAGCTAATTTTTTGTATTTTCTAGTAGAGACGGGGTTTCACTATATTGGCCAGGCTGGTCATGAACTCCTGATCTCATGATCCGCCTGCCTTGGCCTCCCAAAGTGTTGGGATTATAGATGTGAGCCACCATGCCTGGCCTCAGTCCTTATTTTTGGTGCATTTCTGTGTAAATTGCAGATATTTGCACATCGCCCTTCCATACAAAAGCATGCATAACAGTAGCTAGAGTTCACTATTTGTTTACAGACTTTTAAAAATTATGAGGTAAAATTTACATATAATAAAGTACAGAAAATCTCTTTATTTTTTTGGAGACAGGGCCTCACTCTGTCTCCCAGGCTAGTGTGCAGTGGTGTGATCACGGCTCACTGTATCCTCAACCTCCTGGGCTCAGGCTACCCTTCAGCCTCAGCCTCCATGGTAGCTGTAACTACAGGCACATGCCACCATGCCCGGCTAATTTTTATATTTTTTGTAGAGATAGGGTTTCGCCATGTTGCTCAGGCTGGTCTCCAACTCCTGGGCTCAAGAGATTTGCTTGCCTCAGCCTCCCAAAGTGTCAGGAGTACAGGCATGAGCCACAGTGCCCAGCTGCAGTGCAGAAAATCTTAAGGGTACATCTGACAGATACACTTGCCTGTGTAACTAAGCTCGCATCGAGATCTGAATAAGTTTTTGTATTCCTTTCTGTTAACTAATTTTTTTTGTATCCTTTTTTTTTTTTTGAGACGGAGTTTCGCTCTTGTTACCCAGGCTGGAGTGCAATGGCGTGATCTTGGCTCACTGCAACCTCTGCCTCCTGGGTTCAAGCAGTTCTCCTGCCTCACCCTCCTGAGTAGCTGGGACCACAGGCGCGCACCACCATGCCCAGCTAATTTTTGTATTTTTAGTAGAGACGGGGTTTCACCTTGTTGACCAGGATGGTCTCAATCTCTTGACCTCGTGATCTACCCCCCTCGGCCTCCCAAAGTGCTGGGATT